TCCTGGAGAACGATGTGCTTGACCCCAGGAGAGCAACCACTCAAATAATATCATTCTGCTGCAAACCCTTCCAACCCCTCCCCTCTCTTCTCTCCCCTCTCCTCTCTTTTTCAGGCTAGAGGAGCGGTCCCGGCGCAAGGCCTTCATCTTGGAGCGTGGTCTGCTGGACCCGAGAAGAGCGGATGGAATGATCCGATCCAAAACAAACACCAGTAGCAGCGGGCAAGGAGCAGGACAGGGCAGAGGAGGCGGCGGAACGAGGAGGGGAAAGGGAAGGCGGAGGTGAAAGGGAGATGGAGGGAGAGTAGGGAGAAAGGGGGGGGGAAACGCGGAGGAGGGAAGCAAGAAGGCGGCTGGGAGAGGAGATCAAAGGTGGAAAGGGAGATGCTTCTGCGCTGCTGTGTGTTTACGCGGTTACTCAGTCCTGAGGAGCATGAGGGGCTGGTGCAGATGCTTACCCAGGCGCAGCGTCTGAGGGACAGAGTGGCCGAGCTGCATGGGAGGCTTGTGGTTCGTTTTAATGGCACCTTGTGGTATCAGCAGTAGCGCTGCTTCAAGTTTCCTAGGAGCATGAGGGGTTGGTGCAGAGTATGACTCAGGCGCAGAGGCTGCGAGACAGAGTGGGTGAGAGCAGCTTGCATGTGGGATGTGTGGTGGTGGTGTCAGCACAGGAGCAGTACTTGTCAAAGGAAGACAGGTTTTTGCGCTGCGGGGGATGTTTTTACGGTTCCCCTGCGCAGAGGAGCACGAGGGTCTGGCAGATGCAGAACCTAACTCAAATAAGAGAGACTGAGACAAAGTGGCCGTGCTGCAGGTGAGGATTGTAGTTTGACTGAAGTACTACCTAGCAAGTACGTAGTGCTGATTTGAGCCATCAGCTGTAAGCATGAACTCTCTTCTTCCTCACCTCCTTTTCTTCATCTCCTCTCATCGCCTCCCATCTCCTCCCATTTCCAGGCACACACAAAGATAGCCCCGCTGCTGCTGCTGCTGGTGCCACTGGCGGTTTAGGAGTTGAGAGCAGCGGGGTGCAATGGCAGAGGGCCATCGGTTCATCCAAGCTCATTACAAGGACAACGCTGCTGCTGCTGCTGCTGCTGCTGCTGCTGCTGCTGCTGCTGCTGCTGCTGCTGCTGCTGCTGCTGTTGCTGCTGCATCGCATATCTTGCACCGCGTCTGTGTGCTAGGTTTGCATTCTGCTGAGCGGCTGAGCCTGACCCTCACTCCTTGCGACCATCAACCTGACTCATTTCTGTCTCTCATGTTACACCCATTTGCTTGAAAGGTGGCATACCTGCATGTGCATGAATGCATGTGGACATGACAGAGCAAGTGCCGAACCTGACCTGGTTGAACCGAACTGGTTCGGTGGTGTTCGACCGTAACGGATCTGGAAGTTGGAGGTTCGGCATTCGTCATCGAACCCCTTGCTCTTTGGGCCGAGCCATTGGTGGTGGTAGTTACCCGAACCAGTTCAGGTCGGTCCAACGTCCATTCGTTACAGTCCAAAACGGATAAGACTATAGGAAGGTAAGGGTGGCTAAGGAGTTGGGTGAGGACTTGGGACCCCCAACTCCCATATTCTTCTTTATTTCCGTCCATCCCGCGTGGCCTGAGCCGGGCAGGTTTTTGTGTTAATCCAAATGGGGTTTGACACGATTCGAAAACGCATCGAATTAGTTCACAATGTGGAGCGAAAACCGAATGGCCATACTCGAACCAGGAACGGTTGGAGTCAAACCGTTAGTCCCGCCTTGAATAAGCAGCCTATGCACATGTCTGCCTCCACGTGCATTTCCAATCCCACTCACTCTTCAAACCTCTGCCACTGCCACTCCTCTCTCGTTGTTCCTCTGCCACTTGCACCCCTAGCCATCAGCACAGCAGCAGCAGGAGGAGGCGCCTCAGCAGCTCTTGACATCTCTGCCCATCCAGGTTGTGACCTGCTGTCAGCTAAGGTCAGAGGTCCATTTTCAAAACATCAAGACATGCTGCTTGCATCACGGAGCAGCATCAGCAGCATCAGCGGGAGGAGTCACCTCAGCGGCTCTTGCCATCCTTTTTCACCCAGGATGTGACCTGCTCCCTCCCAAGGTGAAAGATCCATTGTCAAAGTATTTTTTTGTGCTGCTATCAGCCAAGGTGAGTGAGATTATTAAGATAGTTTTCTGATTCTTCCATCGATGCTGCCTACCTGACTTTGTAACGTGACTACTCACTGCTCTTCCTCCGCCCTTTCTCTGCTTGTGTGTCTTTCTTCTTTTGACTCCCGCTGCCTTCAATCCAGTCCAAGCGTTTGGCCAGCCTCTTTCCTTCCTCACTTCCTCCCTACCTTCCTCCCGCCCCCACCCATGCATCAACTTCCCATCCCATCCTTCCTCTTGTGCATATCTTCTGGATCATGACGAACAACACCGTCCACTTCCATTCCATGGGAAACGCCAAACCATGCTGTGTGCTCAGGAGCGTGAGCTGTGCACGCACATGCGCCTGCTGCCAGCACACTACCTCCGGGCCAAGCAGGTGAGATTCGTGTGTTGGGCCACTACCTTAGTGTGCTATGAAGTAGCCTAGTGTGTGTGTGTACGATGCGTCTTCTATCCAACTTAAAGTGTGTTTGCACTCAAGAGGTTGAGCTGAGCTGTGCACACACATGCACCTGCTACCAGCAAACTACCTCCGGGCCAAGCAGGTGAGATTCTCAGAGCAGGCGTTGACGAGCCTGGTAAGTAGGCTCAATGATGCACACTGATGCGGGCCTCAAAACTTAACTTTTGCCTGCCAGCACACTACCTCCGGGCCAAGCAGGTGAGGCTCTTAGCGTTTGCGTATGGTGTTAAGAAACCTACAGCCGAAGGTATCAAGAGGAAAAAAATGTTTTCTGGTGGATGAAGGTACAAGATGATAAAATAGGTTTGGGAAAACCTCAACTGAAACGAGTTCGTGTTCACTTCATGAGACACACCTTGACGTGAACCTAAACTGAACCTGAGATGAAACTCACTGTTAAGATAGTAAAAGAAATGGTAAGGCTAGTATAAAGTACAGAGCGGAGACTAACCTGTTCCTACGTTGGTCTTTCAATGTAGTCCTTAAAAGGAAAAAATGTCAGGGTGTGATGAGCCTACGGGGTAGGTTCAAGAGAGCAGGTGAGCTTGGTGAAGACGGTTCTTGAGAAACACTGAATTCGAACTTCAAAAAGACAATTGCATTTGTCCTGGCGTTTGCCTCACCCCCTCAACCCCCGCCCTCACCTTCCACCAGTCCCACGAGGTCATCTTGCAGCAAGCAGGGTTTTCAGGAGGAACCATCTCACGAGGACCAGTGCATCGACTGTTCCGCCTGCTCATCTAAAAAACCCTAAACCCTGCTACCACCCACGGCATGCACCCTGCCGTTTCTCACTGCAATCCCCCCTTTCCTTCCGCCCATCCCATCAGGTCCATCTAACAGCAGAAGCAGCACTTTCAGGGGGGGCCATCTCACGAGCAGCAGTGCACCGACTCTTCCGCCTGCCCCCCGCCACCACAGACACCATTTTTAGACTCTTACTGGGGGCCGGCTGGATAGCTGAAGCCAGGGGGAGTGGTGCCGGTGGTGGGGGAATGGGGGGGGCGATGGTGAAGCAAGAGGGAATGTGAGATCAGGTTTTTCTCCAGCCACCACTGATGCAGGCTCTTGCAGGGGGCTGGCTGGATAGCTGGATTCGGGGGAGATAATGCTGCTAGGGGGATGGATTGGGGATGGGCGATGGGGATTGGGGATCAATGGTGAAGCAAAATTGGATGTGAGATTATGGTGCCTCCTGTCAAACAATATGTTCAATATATACCCTGCGTGCTGTAGTTACTGTAGTTATTATTATTAAGAGTTGGTGGTGCACCTTCTTTGTTGCTTTGCTATATGTACCTTGTGTGCTATAGTGAAACCCCTTCTTCTTTCTCGTAACTCTCTTGGCACAACTCCCTCGACACCCCTTGGCCTAGGCTCCTAAGCCTAGGCCCTCCTAAACTCATACGTCCCTACCTTGACACCTCCAGCCACTCAATCGAACGCTTGAGTGGGGTCCACCTCAATGGCTGAGGCTTGGGTTTCGAAGATAGTGCCAATGTGGAGGGTGGAGGGGATGGTAGAGGAGCAACAAGAGATTTGAACAAGATTTCACGTCAGGGATGGGGAGCGAATTATGTGAACGGTAACACGCAGGCGCACAATAAGAATACTGTATTGGTAGTAGTTTGGTTGTTTTGGCCTTGTAAAGCAATGCGTGGTTCAATAAATTCTGGCACGTGATGTTGTCAAACCGCTAACCGCCAATGGGTGAAGAACGGTCTAGCCCGTGAATTGTGGGACATAGGGATTTCTATATTTTGTAGTTTAAGACCTACGTTTACATTCATTCGTGAAACAATTGCGCATAACGAATAAGCAGAAAATCTAAGGTGCACGCCTACCACACGCCCTCCTCACGCCTAACGAGGAAGGACGATGACGAAACCGGCGAGACGGGTGACGGATCGTACGCTCAGTGCGAGAAATTATGTCTCGCGCACGCATCGCTACAAAAATCTGCGCAAGATTTGCGCGACGCCGATCGAGGACATGTGCGGAAAGTGCAGCGCTCAGGCGGGACGGGGAAGTGGGCCCGCGTCCCGACGGGCCCCAGCTGGCGACGATGGCGGATGCGCATGTTACGGGCGAAGTCGACGGATGTCGAGAGGGCACACAGAACCTTGGAGAACTCCTACCAACCTCCCAGATGGCTTAGCGTCAAAAGCGTTTCCAGAATCCGTGGTAGTTGTTTTGCTGACTGTTCTTCTCATAAAACGCGTCCGCTCCTCCTCGTCACAATCGGAGCTGAGTTCACAATGATGACGGCGACAGCAAGGCTTCTCGAGGAGCTTTTGAGCGTAGGAACGAAATTAGCCGTTCGATTCGAGGATGCAAGGAGGGAGTTGGAAGCGGAACAGCGACATAGAGAAGTAGTCACGGAGAGCCCAATGCTGACTGATAGATTGGAAAATCTGGAGACGCTTTTGAGAGAAATGCGGGAGGAGAACATCAACAACATAAGCGAACTTAAGAATGAGTTAGCCGCTGAGAGGGCTGCAAGGGAGGAAAAGGAAAAGGAGGTGGCTGCACTGAAAGTACGACTCTCGCAGGCAGAGGAATCTCTGTCGCATCAGAATGAAGCAATGTGCAAGATTTGGGAGGTGAGCGGAAGCATCTCTAAGCATGTTACCCAAGTGTAAACCATGCCCGTTCACCACATGTTTAACGTTTTTTTTTTACGATGTGCTTTTTTCCAGGCGATTTCACAGTCTTTGTGCCAGTCAACAACTGGTATGGTTCCTCAGGATGAAGGGCGGGTTTCAAGCAAGGAGATGGAATCACTTGTGTCTGCGTTGGTAGCACAATCGGCGCAAGCCGTGAAGACGTTGGAGCAGCAAAAGGAGGAAACGAAGAAGGTCTGGGAGGTGAGAAACTAGCATGTTGGGTGCTTTTGTCTAAATTTGCTCATTTTTCCTGTTCGCCAGAGGCTAATCTCCAAGACATTAATGTTTCCAGGCTATATACGCGACTTCCAAACGGGGTCCGACCAGTGCAGATTGGAAAATCATGTATCACCCTGCTAGCACATCGGTAATGGAGCTCAGCAGGAACGATGGAAAAGCTACTTATCTTGGAAATCAACACCTATCTTACTTGACATCCCTAAAGAGCCTCAAGATTTCCCAGAGTGTCAACTTGTCTGACTTGAGGAGGCCCCTTGACACCATGACATGGCTGGAGGAGCTGAAACTCGAAAACAGAGTTTGGTGTGATTATTCGGTTCCGCAAATAAGCAACTTGACAGCCCTCCGTCGACTTGAACTGATCTCGACACAGGTTACAGACGCTGGCCTTGCACATCTGACACGCCTTAGCTCTCTCACCGTTCTTGTTCTTTCTAATGGCTATGACTACGCCCAATCAAGCCAAGGAGGCTATATATCATCAGCTGGCATGGTGCACGTGGGGAAGCTGACGAATCTCAAAGCACTGGATATCGGTACTTTGAGGGTGTACGACGACGGGTTAGCCCATCTCGTGCCCCTGTCAAAGTTGACATGGCTCAGCTTGCCAGATCACATCACTATCCAGGGCATGGAGCACTTGAAATGCTTCAAGTGCCTCAAGACAGTTTGGTTGAGGACTTCATTTCATGATTCTCAGGATGTCATTGACTGCTTGAAGGCTCTTCCCTGCCTTGAAAAGGTTGGAGTGAGTCGCACTCGGACAGCGCGCAGAGTCGCCAAGGAGCTCCCTAATATTGATGTTATTGACACTCACGACGAGCCTGTGCTGTATCCTGCATGATATCCTGGCGGATTGAAATTCTCATTGATGTTTAGGAGGCATGAGTACTTATAGTGGAGTTGTCCGCCCTGTCCTGTGTTACCTACTGTCCCCATTTAAGCCTCGAAATCGGATTGTAGCTTCCTATCATATCACTACCAGGAATCTCGATTCTATTTCTGTACGTATCATTACAATTTGAGCAAACCCCTAATCCTTTGGTTGCATAGAGAAATCAGTGCAGCACATGGCCACACGGCACAAACAGCATGCACTCTCAAACACCACCTCCACAGGCTCGGCTCCCCCTCCTCCTGCTCCTGTTGTCAATCTCTACTCCTCTCCCTCCCGCCCATCCTCCACCATGCCTGTTCCTACGCCCCTCCTTTTCCTCCTGCTCATCCCCTCTGCCTCATCACCCCGCATGCATTCTGCTGCCGGCTACCCCAACCCCCCATGCGTGTGTGTGGGTGAGAGCAGGGCTCTGGGTGTGTCGAAATGCCACCTGGATTGGTGGGCTCCCAGCACCAGTGGCACTCCTGCTCCTGCTACAGTGCCCACTACAGTACCTGCAGCAGTTCTTATTACATAACATTCTACTGTCTCTTCTGTTCCAACGCCGACACCACCAGGTTCGAATCCTACTCGCGCCAGTTTGAAGCTGGGAATCTCATGAGGACAGCAGGGCAAGGAGCAGCAGAGGCATCATTACCACTGGCCCCCGAAGCAGCAGCAGCATCGCTGGTGAGCAGAGTGTGGAGGAAGTCAACTTCAAGAGGTTCCTTTCACTAAAAGAGCTTGCTGGAAGTCAGCATGTATCAGTGCCTGTTCGTCGGTTCCCCTGACCAAACTCTGCAACTGCTCGTAGTACGGCTGACGCTAATGATGCTGACGCTGATGCTGCAACTGGTTCACCTTCTACAGCCAATTCCTCTCCCCTTCCCAATCCTCGTCACCACTCGCCCCTCCTCTGCTCGTCCCTCCTCTACTCCCAATCTCCCATCACCCCCTTCTCCCTTCCTCTGTCACCACTCTGTCCCCACCAAGTCCAATAGCCATCTGCTGCCTCTCTGCCTGCCTCCCTTCCTGCTGCCCTATCAGCTTCTTCTCTCCATCACCCTCCCCTCCGAAACACTCAGCTGCTCAAGGGACGACGCTGTTGCTCCTGTTGCCCACTAGCTTGCAACACCTGCCTCCGCTACCGGAGCTACAGAAAAGTGGCTCAACAATATCTTATTAACCTGCCTCTTCATTTCCTGCCGGGAAAAAAAAAAGAAACCACAATATTCCGTTTATGGGAAACAATGCTGATGCATTTGTTTCATTGCCCTTGGCCCCACTGCTACTCCCCTTCCTTCTTGATTCACAAAATGCTGCTGCTGCGCCTCCTCCTCATGCTGCTGCTCCTGGTGGTGCTGCCGTCGCTGTCGCCGCCACCGCAGCCGCCGACGGTCAGGAATCATGCTGCTGAGACAGTTCGTGCGAGCGCCCAGGGGCGGAAGGGGCAAAACAAAAAAGGGGCAGAAGGGACAGAAGGGGCAGAAGGGGCAGACGGGGCAGACGGGGTAAAAAAACCCAGCAACCTGCACCGTTGGACTATCCAGGCTCCAGCAACCCAGCAACCCAGAAACCCAGAAACCTGCGCCAGGAACCCGGCGAATTGGGTGGATGAGATAGCTCAAATGGGTTTGGGAACGGCTTGGGGAATAGAGAAAGGCGGTGCTCAAACGGATGGTAGGGTGTAACATGCAATGCAACACCTCGTGGGTGAAAGGGAGGAACGAGGGCCTGTGGTGCTCATGGATTGCTGGAACGGGCTATAAAGTCGGCTGAACGGCTTGTTGCGTGCCATGCCATGACTGTTTGGAGGCACAGCACATGTGACAAGTCGCTGGATGGTGGTGGTGGTAACACTGAAAAATGGTAACGATGTGGTTGTGGTGTATCCGACTTTGGAAAAAAGAATGACAAGCGCCTGCCGCGTCTGCTTCCCCAATGCTGTTGGTTCCACCTGCTGCTGCTGCTTTACCGATGGCAGAGGGACAGAGCATGGAGAGTGTTGATGTGATGGGAGGAGGTGCGGTCTGGAGAGGTGCAATAGGGAAGGTCCGGTAGAGGGAGTTCCGAGAAGAGAGGAGATGCGAGAGGGGAGGTGCGAGCACCGGGTTCCAAACTCACTGTCGTGCCGGCTGGTGTTAACAATGCTGGCTTGCCGCTTCGACAGGTACTTGTTTCATCAGGTGCCGCAATGGATACTCCTTTCCCAAGCTCACACACCCAGCTCCCCCCCGCATTCCCTTCTCCCAAAATGCATCCTCACCCCCCTCCTTGTCCCTCCTCCACCCCAGCGGGAGAAAGTGACTTCGCGAAGGTGTGATTGAAGCGAAGGGCGCGGAAGTGCGGGTAGGAGGCGGAGGAGAGGTGGAGCATGAGCCAGGGCAAGATAACGAGGGAGACGAACATCACAGCACACGCGCTCCACGCAGCCGCCACCACCACCAGCACCCGCAGCGCCACCACCACCGCCTGGGGTAACCCTTCCAGTAGCCTGCTCACCCAGTGCTTGCGTGCTTGTAACGAAGCCTCCGCTGCAGCAGCGCCTGCGGATGTGACTGTACCGAATGGGTGTTTCTTCCCAATCGCCGCTGCCTGCGTGCTGGTAGTTGGGTTTGAACGGCTCCCCTGCTGCCCATCATGGCGGGGGATTTCACAACGGGAAGGTACTGTAGCCGTCTGGGTGTAATTCCGAGATTATACCGAGTTCTGAGATTATACCGAGTTCGGATCTTGTAGCGAAGTATCCCGGGCGTCGGATCCGGGGCTGGGGCGACGGCGGTGCTGCTTCCCTGCGGAGCGATGTGAGGCTGGGGGAGGCTGTGCGCGGGCGAGTGGTCCGGCACGGCCCTCGGAATTGCCAACGAGCCGGCTGACTCTGATTCCGATTATAATTTTGATGTTGATGCTGACACGGCTAATGATTTTGATTCTGATGATGTCGGGGTAAAAAGCACTTGCTGAAGAAACTGTCGTGGACAATGCCGTTGCGTGTGTCGCGGCTGACTCGATTAATGCTGTCTGCTTGAAATCGACTCCGTTCATGACACATTCGCTGCTAACTGGCGGCCAGATTTGAAGCTTCCGCCGCTTGAAATTGCGTTCGTAGTTAGCATTGCATCGTTTGCTACTGCGGTTCCTAGTTCCATCGGTAAGGTAAAATCTACCTGCATGAAAATCCGTGATCGAAGACCTACCTGCATACAGCTCTTTCCCGTGTGAAAAAGCAGCTGGTTTGTTCCCCATACTTCACCGTTAGTAATCTGCCCGATGTAAGCTAAACTCAAACTCAGTCGCGTATCATCCGCTTTTCACGCCACTAAAACTCAGCCACGCAGTCATGTTCTCACTTGGAACAACCTCTCGACGAGCTTTCGGCACCTGCCGGGGATGGGATGATGGCCTGGGGTGGGGTTCGGGGACTCGTTTTTGCAGCGAACCAACAGATGGTTTGTTGGTATCAATATTTTTTTTTCGTGCGCGATCTGAACAGAGAAATTATGACAGAGGGTAGTGATTTCACATATTGCATTGCGAATTGTGGGCGAACTGGAAACCGCATGATTTTCACAACGTATGGTTGCGAAACAGCCTTAATGGGTGTAACAGATTACGTTGAACCGTGTGGTAACTATCTAAACCGTGGAGCTGTGCAACATTGTGCAGCGTGGCCCGCCCCAAATCTCGTTACAGTACGGGTACCGTAGTTTGCACAATCTGAGAAGCTGGATCACTCCCTTGGTGTCGAACTTGGTGACCCGGGCCTGGCCCTAACAAGGTAAACAGGCTAGTTACGGGCCAGGTCTGCTTGGGTTTTTTGCGGGAAACCTGGCTCGTCTGGGGAATATAGCACAGCGACCTCCCTGCGACTGAGCTCAAACCACCTTCAGATGCTCGGAATTCTCAAACTGGCTCGGTCGCGGAGAGGTCGCAATATGTGTACGTTTTTCCCCGGCCAACTTCATTGATACTCAAATCATGCCAGGACGCTTTGCGTCGGTACTCAACCTCGCATTCTCGTCGCTGATTGGTTGTCGATTTTCAATCACATCGCTGATTGGATCTCGCTTTTCTATCACGACTTTCACGCTAAAAA